GAGGGAGGGGGAGGGAGGGGGGAAAATGAAGAGCTGATGCTAAGGGCTTATGTGGAGAGCAAATGTTTTGAGGATGATGAGGGCAAGGAATGTACAGATGTGCTTTACACAATGATGTATGTATGGATTGTGATAAGAGTTGTATGTGCCTCTAATAAAATGATTAAAAATTTTTTAAAGTTAAAAAATAAAGAAAAATGGTGCAAAACAATAATGCTTTGCTTCAAAATCAATTTTTTTTTCAAAATCAATTTTAAATGGATCTCTCCATGTACTGATCCAAGGTGATCATATTCTTCAGTCTGGGTGAGACCTCCCTTATATTTTATCACGGCTCCCTCGCCTTCCATCCTGCTCCGTTTCTTCCCTATGGTCCATACCCCAGGGGAATTCAGGTGTGTTCTTCAGTTCACCTTCTAGATGCTCAGTTACATACTTGATTGGTATCTGTGAGTAGGTTTACATTTTTATATAAATGATATAGTAGCGCACATTCTATTTTTACCTTTTTCTACACTAAAATTAAGTTTTTGTGATTCATCCATATGGTTATACGTAAATATAACTTACTTCTGACTGCTTCATCAGTTATATGCTTAAGCCATTTTTTGTTTTATCTATGCCATTATAGGTGAACAGATTCAACTTTTTAAAAAGATAATGTTCTCTTCATTCTTAAAATTTTCATGAACTTTGATCTCCAAAATGCTATTGTAGCCAGGTTGCTCTTCTACAGGAATAATGGTGTTACTTTTTTTCCTGTTTGTATTTCTGATTGTTTCCAGGTTGTTGTAATGTCTGGCATTCCGAATTTCCTTATTTCTTTTTAGGAAGAGCTGGTAATATGCAGCTGACTAAGGTCATGTATTAGTCTGGGTACTTAGAGAAACAAATCTACAGAAACTCATATATAAGAGAGAGTTTTATATAAAGGTTAAGTGCGCATCAAGAAAACATCCCAACCCAGTGCTGCCCAAGCCCACAAGTTCAACATTAACCCATATGTCCAACACCAGTCCACAAACTCCTCCTCCCTTTCATAAAACAGA